CTAACTATCCTAGGAGAAGAAATAGGAAGGGGAGGCGTTATAGCTAAAGACCTAGAAGATTCTACAGGGAAAGACTCTGACTCTGACTCTGACGATTCTTCAAACATTGGCCCTTGTCCTGTCGTGATTGATATCTTCCTCCCACTCGGGGTGGTCACCTTGATAGTCTTGCGCCACCCTTGCAGTGATCCTTCGGCTGGAGTAATTAGCTTTGAAGGGTCGAAGTTTTCGCTTTGTAGGACCGTTTGAAGGGGAAGCCGGAAGGGGAAACCCATACGGCAGCTGGATCAACACCTGTCACCCGAGACGAACTCATGAGATTCATGACAAGTTTCAAGGGTGAAATTAAAGAACTGATAACTAAGAGTCGGGCTAGCCCAAGTAGGGGTCAGACGGTCAAGAAGACTCCTCTGGAAAAGGGGAAGTCAGTCAGAGATCGGCAGCCCACTCTTCATCCAAAGGAGAAGGCAGCCGGGACCATTGATTGGTCCAAAATTCTTCTTCCTAAGAGTAATACCAACAATACCCGCCGGACCCAGCAGCCGGTGGGAAGTAAAAAATAAACTCTTGATGCCCGGGAGATTATCAACTGGAAGAGAAATCAACAGTTATCTGAGTCGGCTTCTACGTCGAATTTTCCAGACAGCTTCAACAATACTTCTGCAGGGAAAGCACTTTCCTTGCATGAGAGTCAGACAGGCAGTAATATCGTCCACTCTGGCCCTCAGATTATCAGGACTACACCATATGTACCTTCTCAGGTCTACGGTCAGTACCCACTTTACTATATGCAGTCGGCCCTCTTCGGAGGTCAGGTGGCAGATCACAATGTCCAGCCACTGGACTGGCAGCTCCGTCTGCTTCGTCTAGGTGAACAACCTTCTGCGTTCACCCGGGAGATAACCGAGGCGGCACAGCCGGCCAAGGTTAAGAATTTATTGGTACGTACCTATGATGGTACCACCAACCCGGAAGATCACCTCATGGCTTACACCAACCTCATGTACTTACAGGGGTTGGATGATGCCAATTGGTATCGATGCTTCCCGGCTACGTTGAAGGGCATTGCCCAACAATGGTTTGGCAACTTGCCAGCCGGGTCCATTGATAGTTTCAGGAAGCTTGCCTTCCTGTTTGCTTCCAACTTCTCAATGAACATCCCTGCTAAGAAAACAAGCCTGGACTTGAGTACCATTAAGCAGGGGGAGAGAGAAGGGTTGTGCTCTTATGTCAGGCGGTTCAATCTGATTAGAATTCAGATTCAAGGACTGTCTGATGAGGTAGCTTTTACAGACTTTTTCAAGGGCCTGAGAGACGGGTCGACTTTTAAGTTCGACCTAGTCAAAAAAGGAGCTTTCACTTTACATGCGGCCCTGAGGGAGGCGGAAAGCTATATTTAAGCTACCGACCTCTACTCGCCTGGTAATCAGTCGGACTCCAAGAAGTCTGACAAACAGAAAGAAAGCCGGCTTGCTCAGCCGGTCAAAAATAAAGAAGAGAGCAAGAAAAGAAAAGAAGTTTGGGCGGTTAGTGACTCTGATCAGCCGTCCCAGAAGAAGAAGAAAGAATTTAAACCGTACGTCCCTAAGTACGAGTTTAACAAGGACTGCAACTCCATCCTCATGAAAATTAAGGACCGGCTGTCCCTAGAGAAGCCGAATCCAATGGAAAGTTCAATTCAATCAAGGAACAAAAACAAATTCTGCCAATACCATGAGGAAGTTGGCCATGACACCAACGACTACTTCAGCCTTCAACGGGCGTTGGACCGTCTGGCTGACAAGGGGATGTTAAAGTCCTACATTTCTAAGTCCCCAGCCAGGGCAAAGAAGAAGAATAAGGGTCAGTCCTCCAAGACTACCCCCCAGCCTGCTAGTATCTCGGATACCGACAAGGAGCCGGTCTACACAATAGCAGGCGGTTTCTCATGTGGTGGCCCTTCCATCCGGGGCACCAAGAGCCATCTTCGTAAGATGGACAAAGATGATGATGAGCAGGCGTCTGCAAGCTCCTCCTTCCCAGACGTCCTGATCACTGAGAAGGACAGGGGCAGCGTCCGCCGTCCGCATGATGACCCAGTCGTCATTGAATGTAAGGTTTCCAACCAGCTGGTTGGACGGATCCTTATTGACACCGGCAACTCATCAGACATCATCAGCCTCCAGTGCCTGCAAAAGCTGAAATACAATGTCAGCAGCATGCATCCGGTCACCCACCTCTTGGTTGGTTTTAGGGGTGGGATGGTAAACCAAGCCGGAAGAATTGACTTACCCATCCGGCTTGGAGAGAAAGGCCAGGGACGACATATTGTCGTCAGATTCTTGGTCGTTGAGGAGTTGACCGCCTACAACATTATCCTTGGCCGCCCAACTCTCAACGAAGCCAAGGCGGTAATCATCCCGTCTCTCATGCTCATCAAGTATGAGAGGGATGACGGCTCTGTTGGTTCCTTGAATGGGGATCAGAAGACGGCCCGAGAGTGCTACCTCTTAGCCGTCAAAGATATTGTGGCCCCAGACGGCCAGGAACCAATAAACCTTGAAAATGTCAAGGATGCCGACCCAGTACCCGTCCCACCAGCAGTCAGGAAGAAAAGAAAGGCACCTCCGCAGGTGGAGGTGAAGAAAGAGAAAAAATAGCAATCACTGACCGGTGAACGATCAGACGAGCTCCGTCCCCAACCGGCTGGTGAAAACATTGATCTCGTTTTGGATGACAGCCGTCCAGAGCGTACTGTAAAGGTTGGGACGGTTGCTCATTGATATGTCCATTTTATATAGTGTTTTACCGCCGTCCCTTGGTCGTTATTAGTAGTGTTTTTGGCTCTTTAGAGCCACTTTTATTACTAATTTGTGTGTTCTAGTGTTTTCGTAGTTTTAGTTGTATTCTACAGGAAATTGCACTCTTTGAGCATTTTCCCTCGCTTTATGGATCAACTACGGAAGCTAGAAGGACACGACCACTTTTGGAGCCCAGGATCGGTGAGAGACGGTGATTAAGGGCTCGGTAATTGGGATCCCGAGGCAATTGGACCAAGTACTCAAGACCCGAGGAGGAAATCCGGATTGGGCCGAGAAATCAAGCCCAATCGAAGTCCAAGCACAAGGAGAAGAAACTGCCCGATCGGGCTACCTCTAGCACAATCGGACGCTGCAAGACTAGTAGGCTGAGCGTGCTTAGGCGCGCCCGATCGTGCGAGCTTCTAGCACGATTGGGCGATGCTGCTTGGGAAGATCGCGAAAAAAAAGGCGCGCTCGGGCGGCCCTTCGCCCGATCGGGCGCGCGTTTTTGGAAGACCTGATTAAATTTAGTTTTAATTCTTGTTTTAGAAAACGTTTAAATACGATTTTGTACGAAATTATTAGGGACCTTCTTCCTTAGACCTTCTCTCTCTACTTAGTATTTTTCTCTCTTTTAAATTCTCTCTCAACTTTTGTTCTTAATTCTCCCATTAATTCCAGATTACTTTTTGGTAACAATTTCTTCCCCTTTAATTTCAGTTATTTTATTTTCTCCCTTGATTATGCTTTTATTTATTTATTTGATTAGTTTAGTCATGATGATTTGTGAGTAGTTTAATTTCTAGGGTTTATGGGGATCTAATAAATAATATGAAGGGGTAATTTGTTGTTGTTAATTATCAATGCTAGATTAATTTCCTATTGATTGATTTAATGCTCTGTGACTAGATTAGGCCTGATCTTTTATGCATGAGTTTGACAACACTGATTCGAGATTCGACAGATGAGAAATTATGTTTGGGTCTAGTTTCAATAGGCGGATTAATTTATAAATGGTTAAGTCGAAATTCGAGAGTTGAGATTTAATACCGGTAAATTAATTGTGTGATTGTAATACGTAGCGAAAGCCCTTTACAATCTGGTTAATTGATGCATTGATGATTGACTATTATTGATTATTGGTATTGCATGATAATTTCTTATTGAATTGTTTTAACGTTTTACAATTGCGGCTTGTAAAAGTATAACAATATTAAATTGATGAATCGAGCAGATGTTAATTTGATATTAAAGGCTATTTTCAATAAGAACTTAGATCTAGTAAATTGCGAAAGTCTGTTAGATCTATGGTGATTAATAAATTGCGAGAGCCTGTTAATCATGTTATTTATGCAATGTTAATGATTGATTACTATGTTTTACCCTGGAGTATTATTTATTGGTAAACCTATACCCTAGATCCTTTCATATATTGTTTAGTTCCTTATTCAAATATAAACTTTGGTTACTTCATAATCTAGATTATTTTAGTTAATTAGGAATAGAAAGACTTGTTTCCCTGTGGAGATCGACCCTACTTTCCTATCTACATTAGTTAGAGGATTTAGGTATTACTTTTGATTTGGGGATACGACTTTACCCTGTCAAAATTTGGCGTCGTTGCCGGGGAAACGGTTCTATTTTTATTTCTGATTGTTTTTGTAGTCTAGATTATTTCCCTTTTTGTCTCAGAGAGCGTTAGTTCTCTGAGAAAAATCTCACATTTGCTTATAGTTTTTTTTGTTTATGCCCAGGTGTTCCAGATCAAGTTACATCCCATTCGATCCTGAGATCGAACGTTCCTTCCATAGACAGAAAAATCTCTACAAGCAAATCCTAGCGGATTCTGGTGATAATAACAATAATCACCGCGATCCCCCAACTGGTTTTAGCGATTCAGTTACATCATCAGACGCAGAATCAGAGATGACGGCTCCAAAGAAGCTTAGTGATTATTCACAACCAAAGCTTACGGATTTTCCACATTTCACCCCTACTCCGGCTCTCGATGGGGTTCAATTTGAAATTTAACCTCAATTTATAACGATGATAGAGAGGAAGCAATTCAGTGGAGCCAAGGGTGAAGACCCGAATCTTCACATTGCCGACTATTGTCAATATTGCAACACCATCAGGCAAGCCGGGGTCACTCAAGACCAAATCAGGGAGATTCTCTTTCCTTTCTATTTAACTGGAAAAGCTAAATTGTGGTTTAATGGCTTAAATAGAACTACACTTGGTATAACTGACTGGGAAACTCTTGTTTTGAATTTCTATAACAAGTATTATCCTGAAGAGAGAACAGCCCTACTACGGAGTGCGATCCAGAATTTTGCCCAAGAAGCCGACGAATCTTTATATGAGGCTTATATTTCCTCCATTTCTATTCAGTTGACGCGCGTTCAATTTAGACAGACAAGTTAACTTATTAAGGAGAGGAGAGAGAGTGAGAGAGAATGATAAAGCAAGTACGGTAGCTAGTAAATGCAATATGTAAAACTTACCCAAAAAGAAAACATGTCAACTAAAAAAAAACTTCCTAAAAATGAATATGTGTCAACTAATAAAACGAAGATAAGTATCTATTATGATGTATTGTCCCATTATTATATAATACTAGTATATGGGAAATGGAAAATTAGTGAAAGTGAAAAAAGAGAAGGGAGTATATTAGCAAACGAAATTACAATTTTGCCATTACTGTAGAATGTTTTTGGCGGTTAGATTGAATCTAATCTACGGCTAAGATGTCTTCTAATTGGGTTTTTCACTCTCTAAATTCCATCCACTCTCTAGAAACCCTAGTTCATGCTACTTCGTGAATTAGAAAATGGATTCGAATCAAATACTACCAACATCTCCTGATATTACTTATGAAAGAAGGAAGTAAGTTAATGTTTACGAATTTTTATTATATTTTTTTCAAATTTTTTTCTTTTTTTTTTATTAATTTTCGTTTAATTTTTTGTAGATCAATCGATTCACAAAGCACGGATAAATCTCCAATACAAGTCATTTGTCCATCAAATCAGTAAGTAGTGATTTTATTAGGGTTTAATTATTTGATTTTTTGTTTAATTTTTAAATTATCATGTTTGAACACGAAAATTTGGGCTCAAATTTGCTCGAATTTGGGAGGGTTTGGCTCGAATTTTCTGAGCATATACATTGTTAGTCGAATTCCATGGGTTTTTGGTGCCAAATTTTTTAGGTTTTGGGGTCGCTTTTAGAAATCATTTTTAGATGCTTATAACCTGTTCGATAAAATGCCAAGTTGAAATTTAACTACATGTTGCGTATATGATTATGGAAATCAATATTGTTGTTTTGACTATCTTTATTTTGTGGTATTTGTCATATTATTATCTGAATACAAATTATTTGAGGTAGTGATTTGTATATAGGCTATTGAAGCTGCTCTAGGTTAGCGTAGTAGATCCCCTAAAAAAAACTGTTTTTTCACCAAATGCCCCTGAGTAATTTTTTTATTCACTAAATACCCATCAAAATTTTCAAAAATACTCCTGAGTTTAAGAAAAATGTCATTAAATGCCCAAATGACTAACGGAAGTTAACTCCGTTAGTCATTAAAGCCTAATTATGCCACGTGGAATAATTTTATTGGTTGTTTATATAATTATTTTAAATTATAAAATAATTAATTGATTATTTATCATAAATAATATGCCACGTGGAAGCATATTATTCGTATTTTTCAATTATTTTTTTTATTTAAAAAAATCACCTTTTAACCCCCACTAGCCAGCCACCTTAGCGCAGCCACCGCTCCACAACCGCCACCCAGCCAGCATATCTTCCGCCGGCGCCTAGACCCCCTCCTCATCGCTCCAGCGCCGCCCGTCCCCTTAACCCTGCACTACTGCCCGTTAGTTGAACCACCATACCCGACCTCATCCCTCCTCTATAATTGTAAAAATCCCTCACTGTCTTTCCACCTTAACCAAACATCCGACAACCACTTCGGCCGAAACTTATCCCTTATCTCGTACATATAACACAACCACTCATTTCCTTCCAATTGAAACTCAACCATCACCTTATTCCACCTTTCTTCAAACTCAGCAGGCTCTACTTTATCTGGCAACTTTTTCATTATATGCCACATACATAACCGATGTTCAGATTTTTGAAACACTCTACTACCAGCAATTTTCAAAGCTGGATCTTGATATGTGATCAAACAATTGGGTTCATTATTTCCCATTGCCTTAAAAAATGTTTTGAAAACCCACTCAAATGATTCAATATCTCCCTTTGCTATGAAACCAGCAGCAAAAGTGATACAACTCTTGTGATTATCAACTCCTGTAAATGGAGTAAATACCTTGTTATACCTGTTTAGAACAGTACATGAACATCAAATTTCATTACATATAAAATATAGCACTACGTTTTTTGAACATGTGAAAAAAAAATTTGAACATATGAGTAAAAAGTTAGAACACGTGATTAAATATTTAGAACATATGATTTGATATTTAGAACACATGATTTCATAGTTAGTTGTTAAAGCTTATGAGCATATAAAACAAATTTGGAACATAAGACTAAAAATATAGAACATTAGAAGCAATTTTTAGAACATTCAAAACATAAATCAGAACATAAGATGTGAGCTCTAGAGAGACAAGAATCATCATCAACTTCAAAATCAAAGAAAAAAGCACTCCACGTCAACTTTTTCTTTGTGAAATTGTGTACAAACATTTTAGCATCGGAACTTTGAATGAATGCTTTTGAATCTCATGTGAAAAATTTTAAAATCTTGCTTGGAAGCGCCAACATTTTCATAGTCTCCACGTATTTCCTTCATCATTCGAAAAGTTTTTACATGACCAATATTCACCTATTATATATAGGCACAAAATAGTTTTATAACATATAAAGAAACTTTTGGAACCTAAGTATCATTTTAGATTAAAAGAGTAAAAATTTAGAATACATGATTAAATATTTAGAGCACATGATTTAAACTTTAGAACATATGAATAAAAATTTATCTACGTAAGTAATTATAAGTGAAATTTAGAATAAATAATTAAAGATTTAGAACATGTGAGTAATATTTTAGACCATACGAGTAAAAGTTTAGAACGCTAGAGTAAAAATTTATGATAGAGTAACCTTTGATCAACAATCATTTTTTTGGTGCAAAATGTTCATCTTTCTTCCTTCTTTTTGAAATAGATTACAACTTGGTGTGTAGAGGGGATGCGTATGTCCTTTGTGGCAGTGGTGGACCTAGAAATTTGACAATAGGGGGGACAATTTCGATAATTCAACTAACATCAAACTGTTTTTTTAAAAAAAAAAACGGGTACACAATACAAATAATCCGGGTACATACTTGTTTAATACTAAAAAGTTACAATCCCAAAATCTATTGAATAATACAATTCGGTTATATAGTACTAAAATATCCTCAGAATCTTCATTCTTTGAAATCGAACAATGATATCTTCATCGGGCGCTTGTAAAAACACTTATTTCTCAATGAAAGTAACCAAAAAATCATTCATAAGTTGATCACCATACTATTTCTCAATTTATTTTTGATATATGTCATTGTCGTAAAGACTTTTTCAACACTTGTTGTAGCAATACACAAAGTTACAAACTAATTTATATATTAATTAAATTCACAAACTACTTGTCTAATTTCAAAGTTTCAACCTTCCATTCACCATATTCACAAAATAATTCACAAAATCACAAATTCACAATTCAATTCACAAACTAATAACAAATAAACTAAATCACAAATTAATTCAAAAATATGATTACATAAACACAATTACTCAATACTCATAAACTAATTCTTTAATTTTTTATCATCTAAGATAAAAATTTGGAAATAATCCCAAAAAAAAAAAAACCGACCTGGGTTGTCGGGGTTGATTGTTGAGTTCAGTGGGTTGACACTGATGTGTCTATTTTATATAGTATTTTACCCTCGTCCCTTTATCATAATTAGTAGTGTTTTTGGCTCTTTAGAGCCACTTTTATTACTAATTGGTGTTTTCTAGTGTTTTCGTATATTTGGTTGACTTTTGCAGGGATTTACACTTTTAAAGTATTTTCCCGAGATATTTTGGAGCAATCACGAGCATTGGAGAAGCACAACAAGAGTTTATAGCCCGGAGCCAGTTAGAGCCATCGAACCAGTGATTAAGGGCTTGGTATGTGTGATACCGGGGCATTTGGACCGAGTATTCAAGACCCAAAGAGGAAACCAAGATTGGCCCGAAGAATTGGAGCCTAATCGTAGTCCAAATAGTGGCCCAAGAGAGCCGCCCGGCCAAAAAGGCTGGCGCCCGAAGGCGCGCCCAGCCAGGCGGGAGAAGCAAAGGTCGGCGCCCAGCCAAAGAGGTTGGCGCCCGGCCGAGCGAGGGAAGCAAAGGCTGGCGCCCGATCGGGCGGTGCCTCGCCCGATCAGGCGTGTGTTATTGTTAGGAGACGATTAGCGTCGTTTAAGTTTGTTTTAGTTTAGGATTCTTACGGAGTATAAATACTTCTCCGTAAAACGAATTTAGTACTTTCTTTACCTTCTTTCTTAGACTTTCTCTCTCTACTTAGTATTTTCCTCTCTCTTAAATTCTCTCTCAACTTTTGTTCTTAATTCTTCCTTTAATTCCAGATTTCTTTTTGGTAACAATTTCTTCTCTTTTAATTTCAGTTATTTTATTTGTTTTCTTGATTATGCTTTTATTTATTTATTTGATTAGTTTACTCATGATGATTTGTGAGTAGTTTAATTTCTAGGGTTTATGGGGATCTAATAAATGATATGAAGGGGTAATTTTGTGATTTGTTAATTATCAATGCTTGGTTGATTTCCTATTGATTGTTTAAATGCTATGCAATTAGGTTTGGCCAGATTTAATTGTATGAGTTTAGCGATATTAATTCGAGATTCGACAGATGAGAATTGATATTTAGGCTTAGTTTCAATAGGCGGCTTAATTTATAAATGGTTAAGTCGAGATTCGACAGATGAGATTAAATACCAGTAAATTAACTCTGTGATTATAATACGTAGTGAAAGCCCTTTGTAATCTGATTAACCAATGCTTGATGATTGCTTATTATGAATTGCCCTGGAATATTGTTTATTAGTGAACCTACGCCCTAGGCCTTTAATATTTGATTTTCTCCCTACTTTATTCCTTTCGACTTTATTCTCTGAAGTTTAGATTTTATTCACAAAAATATTGGTTACTTAGATAATTTAGATTATAATAATTAATTAGGAGTAAAAAGACCTGTTTCCCTGTGGAGTTCGACCCTACTTCTCTATCTACTTTAGTTAGCGGACTTAGGTAATTATTTTTTATTAGGGGATACAGCTTTACTCTGTCAAAATTTGGCGCTGTTTCAAGGGAGACGGTTTTATTTTTATTTCTAATTATTATTAGAGTCTAGATTATTTTTAATTTATTTTTTTCATTATTTTGTTTTATTTTTAATTTTTAATTTTTTTTTATGAGTTGAAAATATCCATGTTTATGTCACTACAAGAATTATATAATTTTTATGCAGCACCTAACTACTGTATTTGTCAACGTCTTTGTCATGAAAATCCTGAATGCCCTTATAGTGAGTTTTTTGTGTGTGCTCCGGATGATTTTAGAGTCTTTCCTTATACATATGATCATATTCGGAAACGATTAGTTGCTAATGAAATTTATTGGAAGGCTCTTGATGAAAAAGTCTATGGACACTATAATAATATGAATGTTATTGAGGATGAAGAACCATCGGTTATAGAATTTGTGGTTGAAAAATCATTGGTTGACGAATCGGTGATTGAAAAATCATTAGTTGTAGAAACGGTGGTTGAAAATTCCTTTGTTGATAATGAGGTTATTCGTAAGGGTGGAATTTTCAAGTCATTATTGGATGATAAAGACAATGACTACCTCCATCGTTCTATTAATTCTAAATTTTTAACGGAGGTAGTAGAAGGTTGTGGTGTATTTTCATCTCTCTCTTTTGATTTTTCCTTCTACCTTGAGTTCTCTTTATGTGCTCCTAACTTTTTCTTTGTAGGGATAAATGTGCTTGCTATTAAGCCCTATATAGTGCTTAATGAAATGTTTGCAGGAGCGTTTGATAAGTTACTCAAGGCATTGAATTCTTCCAATTGAGAGAAGGAGTATGGTCGAGCGGGACCTTGATAAACTAGCGCTTTGCGGGAGGCAACCCATATTTTGTTGCTTTTTATTTAGTTTTTTTTATTTGTTTGTGTGTTTTCTTTTTGTTTTGTTTTAGAGAGGTAGAGGATAGTATATCTTATATTTGTGGGAGTGTGATTTTGTGCGGAGATACTAGAAAAGTCGAGACCAGATCGAAGGGCTAAAGGAATCCCGGGGTAATTAGCAGCAGCAAGCTGCCCCCGTCAAATCAGTAGCACGGGCCCGATCGGGCAGAGCTTGCCCGATCGGGCGCGCTTACGCGTCAGCAAACTTTGTCAACTTCGACAGGCCATAACTTTTGCGTTTCTTATTCGATTTTTGCGTGTGACCTGTCGTTGGAAATATCTTCAAGTCTAGTTTCCAATGAAATTAGAATCACTGTATTATAATTTATATATCAAAAGTTATGATCCGAATAGTGAACCTGACTCAAATTTGAACTTTTTCCCACTAACACTTTGTTTCTTTCTTGCCCAATTTTGTTCCAAAGAGATGCATTGCAATCCTCGAGGCTTTGGTGACATTGATGTGGTGATGATGAAGAGTAGTCACCTTGACTACTAGCTTCCCTTTAAGACAATGAGGACATTGTCTGATTTAGCTTGGGGGGAGGTTCTCGTGTTCGTATGGTACATCTTTCACTCTCTCTCTTCTCTTTTTATTTTTATTTTTCTTAGTATAGATTTTATTACTTTCTTAGGTTAGTTTTGTTCCAATGAATTGTAAATTATGCTTCACTGTGCCCCTTACTTGAGAAAAATTGTTTTGATTCCTGGTATTTGATGATAAGCATTGTGGATTAGTTGATCATGATTTGATGTTTGATTGCCTTAAAACCTTAACATGCGTCAATTTTGTCCAACTACTTGTGAATATAGTGCTTGACTAGTTGATTTGGTTAGGAATGTGTGATAGTTCCATAGTTCCTGGTATGTCAATGAATTTGAGTATTGGTTTGCAACTATTAGTAATATTTATATGATTCATTATTATGCACATTGAGAAGGACGAAGGCATTTGTTCTTTTAGGTAGCCTCCAGATGATTGTTGATACATATGTTCCCTTCTTGCTACCCATGTGGTTGCCTTGACTTTTTTGTTGTTTATTAGCCACATTACAAGCCTATTTTGCCCCATTGGTTACTAGTCCCAAGCTTGGCTTGGGGGAGCTATTAGTGAGTGAGGTGAGGGAGTTTGTAGTGTGCTTATTACTTGCACAATTTGGGTGGGTTTTTGAGAAGTAGTGTTGTTTTTTTATCATGTTTATTTTTGATGAGTTTGAGAGTTATATTTTCTTGAAAAAATAAAGCATGATGTTATGGAAAAAAAAAGAGAAGTTCAAGAAAAAAAAATGTAAAAAAATAAGTGAACTTCAAAAGAAAAGAAAAAAAATACTCAATGTTCAAATGTTCTAGTTGGAGGTTGATCAAAGAAAAATATAGAGCTTCGATGAAAAAATTCAAGTTTGGAAAATAAAGTTTGTTTATTCACTCTACTTCTTCATTATTATATCTTATGAGTGAAATTGTAAGTGTTGGGATTATTTATTATGATTGGAGTATATTTGGTTGATGTTAGAGTTGGTTATGTAGGAGATGTTGATCATTATTTATTTTGATCATGGGCTTTATTAGGATTTGCTCCCTTAAGCATAGCTTTTCTCTCACTTGTTCCCAAATGATTCCTACCCTTTACCATAGCCTTACATTACAAGCTTTAAAGACCTTCCAACCTTTGTGCATAGTGTTGTATGAATGTGAAAGTGTTGTTTGTCAATGCAAGTTATGATTTGACATATTTCGAGTCGACTAGTAGGAGTGAGCGTTCATTGTTTTATACACACGAGAGTGTGAGTTGGGAGGGCATTGTTCACATAAAAGGGGTTGGATGGAGAGAGATCGAGTATATCTTTTACTCGCCACAAAAATGAGAGTTGAGTGCGTGAGCACTAGTCTTGAATTCTATATACACTTGTGGTTTGCTCTGTTTGACAATTGTTAGGGGAGTTTGGTAATTAGATGGATTTGATTGATTGACTTTGAAGCGTGTTTATTTGATTTACCCTGGATCGTTTGTGCTTGATTTTTACTTTTTGGGGTGAAGCATATTTATTGATTCATTGATGAGATCATTGCTTAGGGACAAGCAAAGGTTTGGCTTGGGGGAGTTTGATGTGTCTATTTTATATAGTATTTTACCCCCGTCCCTTGGTCATAATTAGTAGTGTTTTTGGCTCTTTAGAGCCACTTTTATTACTAATTGGTGTTTTCTAGTGTTTTCGTATATTTGGTTGACTTTTGCAGGGATTTACACTTTTAAAGTATTTTCCCGAGATATTTTGGAGCAATCACGAGCATTGGAGAAGCACAACAAGAGTTTATAGCCCGGGGCCGGTTAGAGCCATCGAACCGGTGATTAAGGGCTTGGTATGTGTGATACCGGGGCATTTGGATCGAGTATTTAAGACCCAAAGAGGAAACCAAGATTGGCCCGAAGAATTGGAGCCTAATCGTAGTCCAAATAGTGGCCCAAGAGAGCCGCCCGGCCAAAAAGGCTGGCGCCCGGAGGCGCGCTCGGCCGGGCGGGAGAAGCAAAGGTCGGCACCCGGCCAAAGAGGTTGGCGCCCGGCCGAGCGAGGGAAGCAAAGGCTGGCGCCCGATCGGGCGCGTGTTATTGTTAG